CAACTGGGAAAGGCTTAATGCTCCTTGGCTACCAGAAGCTCCTCTGATGCTCTGTCAGTCAGAAAGAGCAACATTGGCAAGACCAGGATAAAATCCACAGCCTGAGAAAGAATGAAAAAGAATTTATTTGCTGCTGCATCAGAAGAAGATAGGGAAGTAGACTTGCACCTGGGGAAAAGAGTGGCTTTTTTTTTTTTTTTTTAAATCCAATTTAGATTCTGTGCTGCTTCCCTCCTTTTCCATGAGCTTACCCATGCAGGGCTCAAAGAAAGCAGAGTCTGGCCCCAAGGGAGTTCAGATACAGCAGACTGATCTACCAGCAGGCTACAATATGTTCCCAGAAGGTGCAATGTAATTCTGAGGCCAAGGAACAGCCTATTAGCTCTGCATGCTATTAATTTTCATGAACAGTTCAATCCAATGCTCACAGAAGCTGTTGGGCATCTTTCCATTTTGTCTAGCAGGGCCGGGATTAGGGCTTATTTATCTTTTCATTCTATACCTTATCTTTAATTGTGAAGCAGTCCTAGCAGTTTAATGCAGCTCTGCACATTTCAAGCCCTTCACTAGGCTCTGTGCCCAGCAGCACATGAGATGCTGTCTACAGGTCAGAGTGAAGGCATGTCACAGTCAAAGCCACTCATGAAGAATTAAACTTCAGGCTTGTCTGACTAAACTTCTCAATTCAACAAAACTCCCCAGTTTTGCCAGGCTGAAAAAGCAACCCTGCAGGTTCTTGAGTCATGTGCCAAAACGCCTGCTTCATCTTCTCTGGAACTGGAAATGATTACTAATAGGTATTCTTGCTGAAATGATTTAACATAATGTGCTGAATGAGATCACTAAGTCAAAATATCTTTCTCTAAGTGATTCTCTTCCTGTGTGCCTGAATGCTAGAGGGAAAGGACAGCATGAACTGAATTCTTTTGCAGGCTTTTGCATTTAACAAAACCTCCGAGTTACCACAGAATTCACATTAGGAAGTTTCACCCAGATTCATTACAAGAGGCCCAATGAAGCACATCTGCCTGGCAGGCAGCAGGGGATGGAGAACAAGGGTTCAGGTCAGCCTCTCTTAATCAAACTTTTCCCTTTTAGAGTATTTAGAGTCTAGATTGGGAAATAAAGATGGGCAAGAAAAACAGGTAGGCATGAAACAAAGCTCGTGAGAAAACAGCACTCTTTGCCTTGAAAGCATAGCCCTGGATGTGTTATTGCTGTTGTAGGCATTACTTACATTACAGCAGGCTGCAACCACCAAGAGAAACATGGGCTTTGGGAAGGAACATGGCCTGGCACCACAAAATGCAGTGCTACATAGCAGGGCACACAGCGTTCTGCTGAGAGGCTGGGCTGCTCTCACCCATCCAACTCTGTCAGCCTCAGAATTAACTTATTGAGGTCAGTACTCATAACAGCAGTATTGCAGACTTGATTCACTCTTCCTCTCTGAGAAGGCCCAATACTCTCTGCCCAGTATAGCTATTACCTGCCAACCTAAAGGATGATGAATGTCATTTATATTGCAGTAATGGCTAACCACTCCATGGAGACTGGGGACAGGCTGTGCTATGGACTTTTCAAACACGCACTGAATGGGAACAGCCCACAGATGGCTGAGTGTATTAAAGTGCTGAAACACTTCAGGGTAATGTTCTTGAATGCTTTGGACACGGTGACCCCCAGCAGCTCCGCAGCACTTGTGCTGACTGCTACAACACAGGGTGCTGAGGACAGTAAAGATATTCATAAATTACACGCTTATCAGTTATTGTGACATGCCGTTCCAAAAGCAAAAAATCTCTCATTTTCTTAAAACATGCAATTCCTTGATGAGAAGACTTTTAAATTCTTCTATTGATAAATTAAAAAAAAATAATTATATTTCAAATGAAACAGAAAAGAGAGGAAAAAGAGATTCTGATTAAGTTTTCCTAATATTTAGCTGTCAGTTTTGTTATATAAGAAAAATTTATAAATAAGGATTACTCAAGATGTAGATGAGAAAAGTGATCCAACAAGAAAATATGAAGAACCTGAACCTATGAAACAAAATATCAGACCAATTTAACTTGGACTTGTGCACTTGCAGGATTAGCTTCACATAATTGCAAAAAAAAAAAAAAAAAAAAAAAAAAAAAAAAAAAAAAAGGAAATTAAAAATATTTGATGTGGTCTTTTTTACTGTTAGTTGCTCTCTTGGTGTATTAGGAAAATCATCCGGTGACTTCTTTCATATGCATCAATGTATTGAGATCTAAAAGACTAAGTGATGTATTCCAAGAACTGTGTCAGAAAAGGTGTCATCGAACAGGTTTAGGACCCCTTTCATTTCTTTTCCAATTAATGTCCCAGTATTGAAGATCTAAAAATATATTCAGAAACTAGTTGGATGGTATTTGTGTCCATCAGCAGCCTTATCACAAACCAAGTGCTAAAGATATACCTTACCTTTAAGAATACCCTTTACATGTTACAGTTCTAGATGAAGCTGTCTCGGAGCTTTATCGCGAAAAGCCTGAAGATACCAGAGCCCAGTAAACACTTTACTAAGCAGGGATCAACCACACAGTTCCTTTTTCTGTCTTTTCAGTCAGCAGAATGGTCACCCTCAATCCAAAATGGGACAAGTAAATCACATGGCAAGAGCCTGTGAGTATTTTCTAGCTGTCTCAACTGTAGAAGTCTCCTAAGAGGACTGATGTCTCAACATCTGGGCATTCTTCTTCCTGTCAAACACTACTGAGCAATGGGATTTGTCAACAATCTGCTCAGCATATACAGATGACAACTGCAGAGTTTGGAGAGCTCAAGGGCATTTATAGATAGATAGGGAATTGAGATAGATGTGTTGAACTAGGACAGAGACCCAGAATCTATGAAAATTATACACAATTGCAGTACAAGTTCTACCTGCAGTAATTAAACCAGACACCATGACATGCAAAATTCAGGCCAGGTGTGCTTTGCAATTACAAAAATTGTTTCAGAGATGCTAACAGCCTCAGTGCCACACAATATGAAGAAGAGGAAAGATGTCTGCTGCCTAAACCACAACTCTGTCTATCACTAAAATATTCAGAATGAAAGCTTCATTTACAAACAGGTAAATGAACAGATTGTCCTAAGCACAAATTTCATGGATGATGGATTTAAAGGTCTTTCCTGCACCTACATCTCACCTAATGGTACTCTACTGCTTATAGATTTTCAGTCTGTTGCTCCACCATGACCTACAAAAACTTCCTCAACATTTTAAGAAGTCTTGACTAAGAGATGTATCTTGGTACAACAAAAATGAATCATAAAAAAAACTTTTGCCTTACTGCAATTATCTCCAAATAATTTCTCAGCTATATTTTCAATAATCTGTCCATTTTTTATATTTTAATACAGATTTATTCACCACCCTTATGACAGCATACTGCTTAAGGCCTTCTACCCTCTGAGTCCAGTGAGCGACAGAATTTGGCATCAAATTTCCACAGCATCAAATGCTGTAGGTTTTTTTCCTGATAACCTAACTGTACAGTGAAATCTGTGGTCAGATGCAGTCTTTACAAAAGCATATGTTCACTCCTTGGTATTCAAGAGTAGCTGTTTAGACTCTGAGGCTATGTTGTTCCACTGAAAGATATATTATCACATCTGTGTCTAAATATTTTTGCTTCCTATGTCTGCTACAAGTAACATCTACAATTGCTACAGCTGAAAATGACAAGATAAAAATAATTTCCACCGATTTGTCATGCCTTTTGCATTTAAAAAACACTAAATGTATAGCCTATTTCATTAACATTTTTGCTTTTTTGTATTTACATGTAATGAGAAATAAGCACGTTAAAAATAATAAAATGGCATTGGAAAAATGACAAAAATGGAAACAGAATTTGTGGGTTGGTGCAGAATTGAAAACCACTTAACACATTTAAAAAGAAAAAAACATTAACTTCCAAGTTGCCTCACTTTAATGCTTTTAAGTACAGCACTGCATAGGATGGCCATCACGTACTGACATTTGATCTGCTTGCTCAGCAGTCTCATTATGAGGTTATGTTAGAAGGGTTCTCAATCTCTGTCTTTCATGTCAAAAGTAAACATGTTTTCACCACCTTAAGTCAGGGAATCACAGAATCACTAAGGTCAGAAAAGACCACTGAGATCACCAAGTCCAACCATCATCCCACCCCCACCGTGCCCACTGCCCATGTCCCTCTGTGCCACATCTCCACATTACTTGAACACCCCCATGGACAGTGACTCTGCCAGTGCCTCATCACTCTTTCTGATAAGAACTTGTTTTCCTAATATCCAACCTCAACATCCCCTGAAGTCATTATAAAACTTCAAAATATACATATTTTTTGAGAGTGGCGAGTTGTCATCATGGATATATCACAAAGGAAACAATACAGAAGCATAAAGTGTCATTAATTCTTCTTCAAGCATATGGTATTGCAAAAGCACTGAACGTGTTTACATTAATTACTTTTAAAAAGAAAAGGAGATGTCACATTTGAGATGGAGGATCCTACCAAGCTCACTGAGAACCACATAAATCTAACAATAGTGAGATTTTTTTTTTCATCAATTCATTGTGACAGCTGTCAAGCTGAGAAGAATTTTTTATTAATACCAAAACAATTGTGCACTTAAACAAAAGCCAGTAATTGAGTCACAGCTTATGTCCCCAACTCTGTCATACAATCTGCACATATGCAGATATTACACATCTATAAGCAAAGTTACTCTTCAAATTTTATTTTTGGGGCTGCAGTATGATGTGCCCAGAGCCTGGGCAGAACCATGCAGAAAGCAGGCCAGAAGGCAAGCTGTGAATTTTCAGTACTGGGCTTGGTGCTCAGCACAGGCTTTCTGCAACCAATAAAGATGCAGGGAGCCTGTTAAATAATTCCACTAAAAGCAAGGCTTGTATCTCTGATGTGTGAGCTTCTAACTGTGAAAACCACTTTAAATAAGTGATAGAAAACAGCCCTTACCTCTTTGTAGACATCATCATTCCTGCTGAAGTCTCCTGACCTCCTTGGAAGGACATGGACATGAACATGCTAGAAGTGTGAAACCAAATAATAGTTATTGCCAAGACCGTGACTTTCTTTTCCAGATTATCAGCATTATCCTCCACTCGTACCAGTAACCGAATAGAAGTCCACAGAATTCCACATGTTCCATAAAAGCACCTTAGCCCTTCAGAGATTGTAAAAGATGTTCAGGACAGTGAGTGAAGGAACCACTAGTATATTACAGAGACCATGCAGGTAGAATGGCTATCGGAAGACACATTCTGGGCTGTACAGCACTTCCATTACAACATCTTTTGCAAGATCAGAAAGAGCTTAATATCTTGCTTTTTCTCCCATGAAGCTGTAGCCCAACATAACATATCCAGTGGTGCATCATGTGACCCCAAACCTGCAGGGCAAGAGAACTAAAGGTCCAGATTTACAGAGCCCGAAGCATAAGCATCACTCTCCTGATGGCAAAGCCATTGCTCAATGTAGCAGTGCTAAGGGAAGATAAGTGGCAGAGGTAGCTTTGCTTTCCAGCATGGGGGTTACGTAAGGGACAACATATTTTCTCACAAATGCTGATGAGATATGGGGAAGAGGAACAAAAATAATGACAAGCAAGCAAACATGTCACTTTGATGTTCGTTACTACTACTATCTTTTTTTTCTTAAGAGATTACAGACCTTTTCATGCCAGATAGGAATTACACAATTCAAGATATTTCGTGACTCAAAATCTACTATGATTTTAAAAGAATCCCTGAGAAATCAAAAAAATGCTGATCTGCTGCTCTGCAGTGACTTCAGCTAAAAAAAAAAAATATTTACAGTTTTGTATCTTTTCCCCTTCTATTCTCTGTATACACAATAAACTGAATTTAGATAGCTTGCATCTGATTCAACTTGGTGAGTTGGAATCAACTGAAATCCATGAATCCTGCTAAAACGTTGTCAAATTACAGCTCAAGTCTAATAAAGACCAAAGAAAACCTTGACCAAAAAACTTAGTCTATTTGTAAAAAAAATCTAAACACCTACATCATGCTACCTTCATCTACAAGAACATTTGTTCAGTGAATAAAATGAAATCACAAGGATGTTTCACTTAATGAAAGTCTGAATACCACTTGTTTTTCTTAGCTTATCCTAAAGAAACCAAATATGCTACTCCTTAAACCTCCATTATCCACAGCTTTCAGCACATGCAGCCTAGAGATGAGGATGCTTCTTGAGGGTTAAAAACTGTTTTTGAGTAATACATCAATGATAGTGTTCTGATAGTGTATTATACTAATATATCATGAGAGCGATAGTGTTCTTGTGATGTATTAATGCAATGTATCATCTGAACATCACTGCTCCTCATGACAAATGACTCAAAATCACAAGGTAAGTTTAAAGATGGTCTTCGAAGCCCCAGGCTTCGAATTTGGCTTTAGGACAAAGAGAAACTTCCAAGAAAAACAGTAGTAAAGATTATGGTTTGTACCAACAATGTGAAATTTCACCAGCACACCCCACCTAAATTTAAACAGATTTAGATTTAAAATTTATGTATAAAACTACAGAATTATCTATCAGGTTTTTTTTCCTCTTCTTGTACAAGGATTTGATACCATGGCTACAAATATTACTTCTCAGGATTTTCTCTTGATATACATGGAGACAGCCTAATGTCAGATATCAATAACTATTATGTTCCAAAACTTCCATGCACTTAGAGTCATTTTTATCTCTGTGGCAAAATGTTTCAGGGTACACACAGGAAAAGCAAACAGGATGTGGCTCAAAGCTTAGTGCAGAGATGCTGTACTGCAGATGCACAGAGCAGCACAGCAGGTAACAAATGAGCCTAATGTGAGCTTCTGCCCCATATGGGCTCATGTGATCAGCATGAAAAAAGGAGAAGAGAAAGCGTTTAGGAGAGCATATGGGGCACTTGGCATCACTGGGGACATTCTCAGGCTTTGTCACCTTTACTACATGCATTATGTTGTTAAACAACACTCAGCTGCTCAGCAAAATCTGTCAACTGTATCAGAAAACAAATCAGTATTTCCAGGTCTGAGGTAACTACAATCAGTTATCAGAGAGCAAATTTTTCTGGACATTCTAATTATTTTTCTTAATATTGTTCATGGGATATACACAAATCTGAATTCTTCCTATCATTTATATAATAGAAAAACGCCATGAATAGCAATTATGTCTCAAGGAGATTCCCTCTCCTCAGCTTTAGGAGAAGAAAGAAGAACAGAGTAGAGCAATGGTTCCCATGTAGGAACCACTCGTTTGCCATTCAGCTGGTGGCTTCCCCAGCTTGGGGTGCTGATATTGTTCTTTAATTGATCATTTTGCTCTTCACTGTTATTTTTCTTTTATGGCTGAAGCCAGACAAAACAAAAACCTGCAAGTCCAAAAGAGACATTTGCAGTTGACTGAAATGTGTCAGTAGATACAAACTAAACATTTGGCTGTATATATTTCGTTTAACTGAACAAACAGATTTAGGCAAATCTTCACTCAAAACACTATTTGGAGAAGAAAAATCCAAACACTGTCTATATAAAATGTCAAAATAAAGCATTTCAGCTCTTCCCTGTTATTGCAGATACCCTCATGACTGGTGAGAAGCATTCCAGCAGGCTGTATTCAGTCACTGTTGACTGTACTCCTTTTCTCTCTCCGAGGAACTGCTTTCCCCACATTTTGCATTGTTTTGATTAATAAGCAAGAAAAGTGACACACAACAACCAAAACATTCACATTAACAGACCAATCAATATGTGTAAAAAACATGCAGACACGTGTTTGCATTGCCTAACACGTTAGCTGCCATTCCCTCCTCTTGTCAGACACTGATGGAGAAAGCTGTGCACCACTACAGGAGACAGGCATACTGGATGTCACAACACAGGGACATGGCATGATGCACCCAGGTGGTACATCAGGCACACATATCTTGACATTGCGTGGTCAAATACACCTGAGTCCCACTGGCTGCTTCTAATACCTAGGAAGAAGAGCTTATGGGAGAAGAACTTTAAAGATCTTTACACCCAGACTGGACAGAGAATTAGAAAAAGTAATTCGATGAGCAAATCTGCAGTGCAAAGAGGTGCTCTCAAGCCAGAGATCCTCACATTCCCAGTGAGGCAGGGGGAGCTTGAGGCTGCTGCTCCCACCACTGCTGAAATCTAGCAGCAACACAAGCATTGGGGGGACTTCATATCTAAAGTTGATTTCCAATGAGTCAGAGTTGCAAAACACTCATAGAAATCTTGACCAAAAAAAAAAATCTCTGCAGGCTGTTTTGTTGGAAAAAAAGACAAACGCCACACACTGACATCATGGGAGTTTTGCTTCTGCACTCAAGGCCATAGAGAAAGCAATGTTCTTAGTTATGGCTGTTTTTACACACTGAATTATGGTCGAATAATCAATGTGTCACCACTGTGCTAGATGTAAAGCAAAAATATCAGGCAAAGATAGACACTGAAAGATTTCCTGAGTAGACTAGAATGATGAAGATCAGATGACCATGCCACACACCACAGGGGAGAACATGGACATCACCTGCAATAATTCATGAATATTACGTTGTGTTCATTCAGCTGCCGTGCTGATTAGCGAAGCAACAAAGCTCTGCTTCCAACAGAAAGCAAGATAATAGCCTTCATAAGAGCTCCCCAGCACTCACACTGGGACTATTAGCAATACATGTTGCTATAGGATGAATGCATAAAGTCTGGTGGTGGATCACATAATGCTGAGCACAGGGGGTTGCCAAAATGCTGGCAAAAGGACCGACTTCCCTCAGCTGCAAAGGCAGCACGTGGCTGAGCTGTGTCTTCAAGCAGCAAAACCAGATGCCTTTCATCAGCTCAAGCCATTCCCTTGTCACTTTTTGGTTTTCATAACAGAGAAAACCTGTGGGTTTCCGTAGTTCTGTGGTAAAGCAACATCAGGAAAGGCAGTAATGTGGGGCCTTTCAGGGGAGATCAGAAAGAGTGAGCCCCCTTGCACAAGCAGGAGGAAGGGCAGGAAGAACACCAGTGATGGCAGGCTGCAACATGAGCTGGCCACAGAACTCCCCCCCTCCCTCCCAGTCAGCTGGTTCACAGGGAAAAAGTACTGAGGCATACAGATAACACCTTATTTGCTGCAGAAAGTCCCCTGTCCGTTGCAGAGACATGGGCTTCATACAGGAGGCTGTGATAATGCTTCTTCTAAACTACCAGATTAACTGTAGAAATTCCAAACTAATAACCATTCTCCAAGTAAGGCTGTCAGCGGGTGATAAAGAAAATCAACCATAATACTGAGATAGCCACATGAAAAATAGGGCAATTTTGTCCTTTCTGTAAACTGGGCTTCTATGGAGCCCTTGTTTGCTATTCTTGATTAACTGCTCAATTATCCCTGTTAGAAAATTATTCTGCAGAAAGCCCTGCCTGTATATCCACAGCTCATTAACAGAAAGCACTCCCTCTGCTGTCTGCAAAAATATATCACATCACCCAGATGCTAGCAGACTTAGTACAATTGCTTTTTCTTTGTTTTGTAAGCCAATTTCTATGGTCCTTGACTTGCAGACCCTGGAAAGGACATCTTCATGGTGAAGCAACTTTTGTTCAGTGAATATTTTTGAGTTCTTGATATTTTTCCTATTCCCACGTTGGTTGGGATGGAAAAACATATGGAAAAAAAAAGTCCTATTCAACGCTTTTAAAAATTAAATACAAAACAGTTTGTATCAAAATATTCAGTTTTCACAGCCTCCAATATTACTGCCAGCATAAATTCTTCCTGCATATTCAGAAGTTGTAAGTTACATAACGCAAGACCACTTTAAAAGACCTGTTATAAAAAAATCAAAAGATAACAGGAAACTACTTAAAACACTTCCCTACAAAAATGCCCAGTTCTTAGGAATTGTCATCTTCCTTAACTGCAGTAGGCTGCACACAAGATGCACACATGTGCTGCCTTCTACCAGAACAGGAGCTAAAGCATTCTGGTGGTAAGGGTTGCTGTAA